GGCAATGGTCGTGTCTTTCACCTGTATCCGCAGCGTCTTCATGATGGAGACCATCATATCAGAGACCACGCTGTTGGCGTAGGTCATGATCCCTTGGCTGACGGAAGAGGTAAAGTCATCGGGCCTCTCTTGCCCCCCAAACTTCCTTCTCTCCCCAGGTAAGGACCTTCCGCCCTCTCTGGCATCACCTGCGTTCCGGGATTCAAACACTTCCTTATAGAAGAAAGACTTCTTAGAGGCAGGCTTGTCATCTGGACCCTTGCTTTCCTTGGTGCTCTCCTTGATCTTCAAAGTGGACTTGTATTTCAAGTTTGGGGGGCTCCGCGATGACGCTGAGGCTCTATCTCCAGAGCCAGGAGCCTTCTCCGGGTTAACGTTCTTGGAGCACGCAGAGACGGTGTCGTTCACGAGCTCTGATGCCACCTTGCTCAGGGTTTTGTTGGGCCCGGGCTCGTCTCCCATGTACACTGACTGATGGACGCATTTGTTTTCCGAGCCGTCGATCTTCTCATTGATCTCCTTGCGGGCCATGGCTATGACGAGATTTGTGAGGCGGTTAGCATAGAAGGAGACTTCATCTACCGAACTTCCATGACCAGGCAGGGCACTGGGGCTCTGGGGAGGATTCTCTTTGTGGGTCATCTCGAAATGCAATCTCCCAGGACTCCCCCTGTTGGTGGTATTGTAGTAGTCTACTGAAAAACCTTTGCGTGGGTCTGCAGAGGGGGTCATGTCCCCACCAAACGATGATTCTCCAGGCTTGAACCTAACATCTTGGAACTCTGCTGTGCTTTTCTCCAGGTCTCTGCGGAGCCAGCTGAGCACTCTGACAGGATCTGTTGAGGCTTCCTTAAAAACAGACAAGGATTCATCCGACTATAACAAAGTAAAGATACGGGATATTCAGGACATCCTCAAAGGTCACTTACAAAAACTGCCACACCACTCAAGTTTGCTCCAAAATGACAACAAAAGCAACCAGCATTTACTGAGTGCTTACTATGAGTCAGGCACTGTTTTAAGTACTGGGTTGTTGGAAAAGTTATGATGTATTTTTCTATGTTCTTCCATGCAAAAGTGCATCGTGACTTTTCCAACAACCCAATATTGTAGCACTATCATCTCATTTAATATTATTTTCAGGGGGCCAGCAGGCAGTGTGGTGGTTAAAGACATTGGACTTCCACATGGCTGACTGTGGTTTGAATCTTGGACCTGGCAGCTTTGTTTCTCACTCACTCTTTCTCACTTTCTCTGGTCAAATTATAAAACAAAAATAATAATACAAAGTTAAACAAAATAATTCTTTAAAAATTGTATTCTTATAATAAACCTAAATATTAGCTTTCTTGTTATTTTCATTTCACAGAGAAGAAAATTGAAACCTTATTGTTATTTATTTGATGGAGCAGAAATTGCACTCCAGGAATCTAATGCCAGTGCATGCTTCAGCTATTACATCCTATTGCTTCTTCTTATTTTTTTTAAGAATTATTTATTCAATTTTATTTATTATCATTATTACTATTTTTAATTTGCATTAGGGTACAGATATTCATATTCACCAGAAGGAGATAGGTAGATGAGAGATAGACAGATGATAGATAGATAGATAGATAGATAGATAGATATAAATAAAATGAAAAAGCAAGCTGTCAGGTCCAGGACTTGAACCATGGTTGACCATGTGGGAGTCCAGTACCCTAACCACCCTGCCACCTGTCAGCCCCAGGCCCTATTGCTTCTGACAGCATGTATCTTCAAGATCTGGTAGTCATCAGCTACACAGAAAAGTTAGTACCTGAACTGAATTAGTGGTATTAATTTTAATTTCTGTTTTCTGTGGTTTATCTGTTTTTATTTGTCTTTTATTACAAGTATAATTTTCTTTTTTAAAGATTTATTTATTTTTAATTTTATTTATTATCATTATTTTTCAATTTTGACCAGAGAGGGGCAAACAGGGAGAGTGAGAAAGCAAGCCACCAGGTCTGGGACTTAAACCATGGTCAGCCAAGTGGGAGTCCAGTGACATAACCACTATCCGAATTGACATTTTGATTATATCAATTCTTTCAATCCAAGAATAAGGGATATCTTTGCATTTTTTGGAATCATTTTCAGTTTCTTTGGTTTTTCATAGTTTCCTTCATAGAAACCTTTTACTTCTTTGGTTAGATTTATTTCTACATTTTAGCTTTTTCTTTTGGCTATTGTAAATAGAAACACTTTCTTCAATTCTGCTGTTTATTATTACTGTATAAAAAACTATAGATTTGTATATATTAATTTCGTGTCCTGTGACTTTACTGAATTCATTTACCACCTCTAGGAGTTTTTTCATGAATTATTTTTGGTTTTCTATATATAATCATGCTATCTTCAAAGCATCATCTTTTATAGTTTTGGAATCCTTCTCTAGTCGCCTACTTTGGACAAAGTGTTGCTAAGATAAAATTTAATAACATATATAAAGAACTCAATAAATGTAAATTTCCTTATCATGTAGTTATCAAATCTTTCCTTACTTTAATAATTAGGAGTTTCAAATAGCAATTTTACAGATCATCTATAGAACTTGTTATTATGCCACAACAGAGTGGAAAAAAGAGATGATGCCAATCTTATGTATATATCTTAAAAAAAAAAGGAAAAATTAGTAAAGCAAAAATTGAAGGTACATTTTTTATATACTCCTTGTTGAATACAATCCTTTGTTGAATACAATGCATATGGTAATATGTTTGATTTAATTATCACACATAATTTGTAAATCCATATTGTACCCCACAAAGATGTACAATTAATATAAATAATAATTTATTTTTAAAAGGTGATAAAATAAAATACAGTTAAAAAAAACTTGGTATTATGTATGCTTACCACATTGCCTCCTAGCACACCATGATTTCTCACCTGAATTGGAGAACTGGGCTAATGCAGCCTTTTCAGTAGATGGGGAAACACTGATTTCTTTTCACTTAAATGTCCAGAATAATGTCTAGTGTTGCTTGATATCTTTGGACCACTTTAATCTTCTGCAGGCCTTACATATTGGACATAGCTGTCCTGCTCTTTAACAGCTATTACAATCTGACTTCCTATTTTCTATTCTTACTCTATAAAGCAAGATAGTCCCTTTGCTATTTTCTCTAAAGGAAGCACTCAGCTTTCATAAACTAATAATAACCCCCAAATAATCCAAGTTTTCAAAGATTATCTAAACACGACAAAGGAGAAAGTTACTTCAAGTTTAGAAATTGACTGAGGGGCGTCTAAGGACCTGTGAATCACTTTGCAGTTGCCATTTCCGGTTCCACTATATTTTTGTCAATTTTGTTGCACCTTAATGGAGTGTGCAGCGTGTGCTGCCAGAGTTGTAAGAAGATCATCCCTAAAGTCCTGAGAAAACAGTAACAACGACTTTCTGGTTAACATAATTGTTTGCTTTGTTTAAGACATTGAAGAGACTAGAATTCTCAATAGAGAAGTAAATACTCAGAAAAGATCTAATATCCCAATTCATGCAGTCACATATATACTCTCCTGATGCACCCTTCAGTGTGATTCTAAGTGACCAGTTTCCCTTCTTGGCCTCTTTGAGCAGGAGACACACTTGGAATAGACACTATCTGGCTTTCATTATCTTATATTTCACATGAGATGTAAAAAGTTTGGAATTTAAGAAACATGCTCAAAGTTGAGTATTGGCCCTCATGTCTACTGTGTCAAACAGAATTTTTTTATAAGTTTTACTAATACTAGGATGGTGGCAATGGTCGTGTCTTTCACCTGTATCCGCAGCGTCTTCATGATGGAGACCATCATATCAGAGACCACGCTGTTGGCGTAGGTCATGATCCCTTGGCTGACGGAAGAGGTAAAGTCATCGGGCCTCTCTTGCCCCCCAAACTTCCTTCTCTCCCCAGGTAAGGACCTTCCGCCCTCTCTGGCATCACCTGCGTTCCGGGATTCAAACACTTCCTTATAGAAGAAAGACTTCTTAGAGGCAGGCTTGTCATCTGGACCCTTGCTTTCCTTGGTGCTCTCCTTGATCTTCAAAGTGGACTTGTATTTCAAGTTTGGGGGGCTCCGCGATGACGCTGAGGCTCTATCTCCAGAGCCAGGAGCCTTCTCCGGGTTAACGTTCTTGGAGCACGCAGAGACGGTGTCGTTCACGAGCTCTGATGCCACCTTGCTCAGGGTTTTGTTGGGCCCGGGCTCGTCTCCCATGTACACTGACTGATGGACGCATTTGTTTTCCGAGCCGTCGATCTTCTCATTGATCTCCTTGCGGGCCATGGCTATGACGAGATTTGTGAGGCGGTTAGCATAGAAGGAGACTTCATCTACCGAACTTCCATGACCAGGCAGGGCACTGGGGCTCTGGGGAGGATTCTCTTTGTGGGTCATCTCGAAATGCAATCTCCCAGGACTCCCCCTGTTGGTGGTATTGTAGTAGTCTACTGAAAAACCTTTGCGTGGGTCTGCAGAGGGGGTCATGTCCCCACCAAACGATGATTCTCCAGGCTTGAACCTAACATCTTGGAACTCTGCTGTGCTTTTCTCCAGGTCTCTGCGGAGCCAGCTGAGCACTCTGACAGGATCTGTTGAGGCTTCCTTAAAAACAGACAAGGATTCATCCGACTATAACAAAGTAAAGATACGGGATATTCAGGACATCCTCAAAGGTCACTTACAAAAACTGCCACACCACTCAAGTTTGCTCCAAAATGACAACAAAAGCAACCAGCATTTACTGAGTGCTTACTATGAGTCAGGCACTGTTTTAAGTACTGGGTTGTTGGAAAAGTTATGATGTATTTTTCTATGTTCTTCCATGCAAAAGTGCATCGTGACTTTTCCAACAACCCAATATTGTAGCACTATCATCTCATTTAATATTATTTTCAGGGGGCCAGCAGGCAGTGTGGTGGTTAAAGACATTGGACTTCCACATGGCTGACTGTGGTTTGAATCTTGGACCTGGCAGCTTTGTTTCTCACTCACTCTTTCTCACTTTCTCTGGTCAAATTATAAAACAAAAATAATAATACAAAGTTAAACAAAATAATTCTTTAAAAATTGTATTCTTATAATAAACCTAAATATTAGCTTTCTTGTTATTTTCATTTCACAGAGAAGAAAATTGAAACCTTATTGTTATTTATTTGATGGAGCAGAAATTGCACTCCAGGAATCTAATGCCAGTGCATGCTTCAGCTATTACATCCTATTGCTTCTTCTTATTTTTTTTAAGAATTATTTATTCAATTTTATTTATTATCATTATTACTATTTTTAATTTGCATTAGGGTACAGATATTCATATTCACCAGAAGGAGATAGGTAGATGAGAGATAGACAGATGATAGATAGATAGATAGATAGATAGATAGATAGATAGATATAAATAAAATGAAAAAGCAAGCTGTCAGGTCCAGGACTTGAACCATGGTTGACCATGTGGGAGTCCAGTACCCTAACCACCCTGCCACCTGTCAGTCCCAGGCCCTATTGCTTCTGACAGCATGTATCTTCAAGATCTGGTAGTCATCAGCTACACAGAAAAGTTAGTACCTGAACTGAATTAGTGGTATTAATTTTAATTTCTGTTTTCTGTGGTTTATCTGTTTTTATTTGTCTTTTATTACAAGTATAATTTTCTTTTTTAAAGATTTATTTATTTTTAATTTTATTTATTATCATTATTTTTCAATTTTGACCAGAGAGGGGCAAACAGGGAGAGTGAGAAAGCAAGCCACCAGGTCTGGGACTTAAACCATGGTCAGCCAAGTGGGAGTCCAGTGCCTCAACTACCATACCAGGGTTTGGTATCTATCTATCAACCCCCTTTTTATTAAAAAAAATAGTTTTATTTAACGTATTTATTTATTATTATTAATTTAATATTTTCACAGAGAGAGAGAGAGAGAGAGAGAAAATATGAGAAAGCAAGCCTCCAGGTCTGGGACTCAAACCACAGTTGGCCATGTGGGAGTCTTGAGCCCTTAACCACTGTGCCATCTGCTGGCCCCATACAAGTATAATTTTCAAAACTGAAAAATTGAAAGACAATTGTACATACTGATTCACACTCACTTGCTACACAAGCACAATCTTGATCTGCTAAAGGATTTCCAATGGACTAGGTGACAAAACTAGGTGACAAAACTGAGGAGTTAGTATCTGTAGGCATTTTATCGGTTTTGTGTGAATACAGACTCTGAGGACTACTGGCTGTGATAAGCACAAGCACATATTTATGCTCACATATCATAATCCATATGTGGATGAAACTCTTCACTCGGACATAGAAGAAAATAAAATGATGCATACGTACGTGTCCTATTTACGATCAAATGGAAAGGACCATTGTAATTATTGGAGTTCATACATCTGTCTGAGAATGACCACAAGTATTAATGGTTTTTTTTTTTTTAACAGGTATTTGCTATAGGGCGCGTGCGGTCGCCAGAAAGACAGAGAGAGAGAGAGAGAGAGAGAGAGAGAGAGAGAGAGAAAGCGAGAAATCACCCCCCAGGGGGGATGGCCACGCCACAATCCCTTCTTCTCCATTCTCCTCTCAGGATCTTGGGCACGCACGCACATGTGCCCGGTGTGAGTTTAAGCCACCGGGTCCGGGAAGTGAACTGTGGTTGACTACATGGGAGTCCAGTGACATAGCCATTATGCTAACTGCTGGTCCCAGTATTATTGTAAAGAACAATTTGGTGGGTTTTTGTTTGTTTGTTTGTTTTTTCCTGTTGTTTTTGCTATATGGCACCACAGAGTAAGAGAGAAAGTGAGAAATCACAATCCCAGGGAAAATGGCCACGCCGCACTCCCTTCTCCTCTATTCTCCTTTTGGCATTTTGGGCACACATGTACACTCGCCTGGTGTGATTCTCAAGCCACCAGGTCAGGAACTCAAACAGAGCAGTCAGCCGTGTGGGATCCAGCGCCTTAACCCCCATACTACCTGCTGGCCCCATTGTGGTGATTTTTATTACCAAGTGTCATATATCAATAGTTAGTAGCTATATTAAGTCATCAGGTAAGTCATGATGTTTTTCTATGCAAAACCACATCATAACTTACAAAAAAACCCCCAATATTTTGTTAAATACTTGTATTGTTTGCCAGGCACCATTCTAAGTGCTTTACACACATTATTTTGTTTAATCCTCATAATCCTGTAAGATAGGTTTTATTCTTCCCATTTCACAAGTGAAAAAAAGAGAGACTTGGGACCAGCAGATGGAGTAATGGTTACATTGCTGGACTCCCACGTAGTCGACTGTGGTTTGAGCCCCAGACCTGGCGACTTAAAACTCATGCTGGTTTGGGGCTGGCAGGTGGTGAGGTGGTTAAGGGTGCTGGACTCCCACATGGTGGACGACAGTTCAAGCCTCAGACCTGGTGGCTTACTTTCTCACTTTCTCTCTCTGTCTCTCTCCCTTTCTCTCTCTGGTTAAATTGGAAAATAATAATAGTAATAATAATAAATGAAGTTCAATAAAACAAACAAACAAACAAACAAAAAACTCATGCTGGGTGGCCAAAATCCTGAAAGGAGACTGGAGGAGAAGGGCTTGCGGCATGGCCATCTTCCCAGGAGGGTGATTTCTTGCTTTCTGTCTTTCCGGAAAGCAAATGTACCCTATAGCAAAAATCTTACTCTCTTTAAAAAAAAAAAAAAAAAAAATGGAGGGACCAGCAGATGGTGTGGTAGTAACATTGTTGGACTCCCACATGGCCGACTATGATTCAAGTCCCAGACCTGGAGGCTTCAAACTCACATGTGTGCATGTGTGCCCAGGAACCCAGGAGAAGAACAGAGGAGAAGGGATTGCAGTGTGGCCATCCTCTCTGTGGGGATGATTTCTCTCTCTGTCTCTTCAGTAAACTTATGTGCCCTATAGAAAACAAAAGAAAACAAGCAAACAAACAAAACTCTCAAAAAAAGAGAGAACACAAGTTCAGAGGAGTTACATAATTGGGTTAGCTCCTCGGAGCAAGTGCATGATGGGAACCAATACTCCGATCCAGCTTTGACGCTAACCCAGGGTTTTCCACCCCGACGGTACTCTGTGTGTCCGATGACTTGGAAAGAAGGGAGAAGCAGTTGTGCTAGCCCTCTGTGGGGTTGGTTCAAGCTGCTTGGTGCCATGTCAGGATTAAGGGCATGGCGCTTGTTCACAATCCTTCCAAATGGTTCTCCTAACTGAAATACCAGCTACTAGAGGGAAAATGTGCTTCAGTGGAAAACCATACAGTCCAGCCCCCTTAACCAGCCCCTTCCCCGTTGTCCGATTCTGTGGGAGCTGTTTTACAGCACTGTAACTGGAGCTAACCAGTAGCAATGGGAAATAATTCTCACCTATACACAAGCAGGAGGAGGTTCTCAGACTTTCTCGCCGACTGAAAAGGTGGGCTTTGCCTTCATGTGCACATGCGCGTCAAAATTTTTTATCTACATGCATCATTTGAATCTCATCGGTTCTTCATTATGAGTTAAATGAAATCTTCAACATGTAGATTTTTATGTTATGCATGCATGAGAGTCATTATTTTCCCCTTAGTGAAAATAACCTTTTAATGATTTTGGAAGTCTCCCACCAAGATAGCAATTGACCTTTGTAGATATTCTGTTTTTTCAGTTTTAATTCTCCTCTCTACGAATTTTGTCTTTGGTCCTTGCTTTGGCTCATTTGTGGCCAGTAATGGATGGTGGCAATGATGACTGGGAATTGGCTTTATTGTCTAGCCATTTGGTAATCTCTTTACGTTTATAGATCTATACTCCAGGGAACCAGCAGTTGGCATAATGGCTATGTTGCTGGACTCCCACGTGGTCAACCGCGGTTCGCATCCCGGACCCGGTGGCTTAAAACTCACGCCGTGCGCATGTGTGTGCGTGCCCAAGATCCCGAGAGGAGAATGGAGGAGAAGGGATTGCGGCGTGGCCATCCCCCCCTGGGGGGTGATTTCGCGCTTTCTGTCTCTCTGTCTCTCTCTGTCTGTCTGGCGAGCACACGTGCCCTATAGCGAAAACCTCTCAAAAAAAATATCTATACTCTGCTGGGTGAGAGACAACAGAAAAGTCTGTTTTGCTGGTATTTGGGGTCCACCTTAACATCAAGTCAATAAAAAATATTGTGTATAGACTGGCCCCACAGCCTACTGGGTAAGGGACCTGGACCCCCATGACTGACCGTGGTACCCGTCCCAGCCTGGCTCTTTGTAAAACATACCAGGTGCCTGTGCGTGTGTGCCCCAAATTCTGACAAAACAGAAGGATGGAGGAGAAGGGGTTACAGTGTGATCACGCCCCAATGGAGGCATCTTCTCCACTCCCCCTCTCTGTCTCTGTCTCTCTGTAGTGAGTCCAGTGCCCTCTGGCAAGTAAAAAACAATTTTGTGCCCATTTGGAAGGAGAAGAACCCTTCACATCTGTACAGTTGAATCTCACATTTCTGTGCTTACTTTTTTCCCCCAAAATAACTATTTTATTTAACTTTATTTATTTATTTATTTATTTATTTATTTTAATTTATTTATTATCAAAAAATGAGGAGGAAAGCTGCCAGGTCTGGGACTCAAACCCCTATTGGCTGTGTGGGAGTCCAGAGCCTTTAACCACC